TGCAAGATTTGCAAAATGGCTGCCAACGCCTGGCGACTGCGGGGATGACATGATTACACCAGGAACCTCCTATCGATCTCACAGGCCTCCTGCTGTGTTTCTAAGCTCCAGCATTGGTTCACATCATTATGAACCTTGTCAATGACGCTTGCTTGAGTACACACCGATGACACTAAGATCTCGATGATCTCAAGGCAAATCTCAGGGCAGCACCAAGATCTTCTCCACAATCTCAACAATTCCGTTGTAAAGCAAAGTGCTCAAAGGAGCAGCCTGTGAGTGCAATGGAGCCAGGGTGACCATGGGTGCCTAGTCTTCTTCCGATTCAAACTACTTTTTCTCACATCAAATACTGCAAAGTGACAAGTGAAAAACATAACATGGAAGTTCATGGCAAAAACAAAGCGAAACAACTAGCACTGCACCTGCAGCAGCATCAACAACTGGGACAGCACCTCTTTCATAGAAGAGGCATGCAAAGCTACCTTCCGAAGAAGTCAATTCTATTCGTCTGTTCTGAGTCTGTGCCACTTGCACTGTTAGTCTCCCCTAAGAGTGTTCCTTTCAAAGCTGTGACAGCGCTGTGCTTGTAGGGCCGAGCACCTGGACCAGGACCTCAGCGCTTTGGACCTTGATGCGACGCTCGAAGTCCCTCGAAGCGACTTGCTCAACGTGGAAACCTACTACTAGCAAGGACGCTATTAGTAGTTCCTGGCCTTACTACTAGGAACAAAAAGCTACTAGTAGCAAGGACGCTATTAGGTGGCCATCGCAAGTAGGTTGGAGGCCATCGCTAGTAGTAACAAGAAGCTACTAGTAGCTTTCGGTGTGGAGCGTGCCTTGGATTCTCGCGACCCATTGATCAGCTTCAGCAGAAAATCTAACCTAAAATGCAAGAGCCTAGTGACCAGTGCCAGAATGTAGTTTGGGTTCCGATCCCATGTCTTTTATTGAAACGGCCGAAACGTTGCGTGACCGCACGTTTTACTGTCAACGATTTGCTTCTCCGCAAGCTTCCGAAGCCAAATCAAAATCATAACCTGCGCTGAGGTTACGTGAAGTGCCCTGAGCTATCATGGCCTCACTTCTTCTTGTCCAACGCAGGCAGCTTTGTCGCCAGTACCATGTCCACCGTCTTGTCGCGGGCAGAATCCAATTCATCCAAGGCTTTGGTCACTGCATCTGCCTTCATAGTTGCGCCATCTGCGATTGCTACAATCTCACCACCTGCGACTTGAGTTTGCACGGAAGGAATGTCTGCAAAATTGAGGTGTATTGAAGCCGTTGTCAAGTGAAGCCAAACATTACTTCAAAAACCAAAGTAAACACCAGTTGTTCAGCCCAGTCGCTGTCCAATTTCCCTTGCAATTCTCCTAGGTCCGCAAGCTTGGCAAGCTGCTCCTGCTCCAACTTACCTGTCGCCGCCATGTCATCGTTCAAGCCGTAGAGGATGCTGTTGTACTCCTGGCACACTTTGACCATTTCACGTGTATATATATATATACACAATATAATATGATATAACTATATATACAGATTATATAGGGGTACGTTGGGGGAGCTGACATGAGTTGGGTCTGTTCGACTAGTCTCAATCACTTGTTCATATTCTGTCCGTGCTTGATCAATTGGCTTGATCAGTTGTGTTACACTTTGTTTGATCAGTTGTTTAGAAGAAGCAAGAAAAGAATAGCACCCCAGGCTTCTCCTCGCACTCCAATGCATACTTGCGCTCAATCTCTGGCATCTGAGCCAAAGCCTCATCCATGGACAAGGCCTTGGCTGCGGCCCAACGCTCGGTGTGCTCCTCTGCGTAGGTGGCATAGATGTCATACGCAGGATCTCCCGTCTTGAGTCGTCGCAGGAAGGCTTCTTTGGAGGTCTCACCTGTCAAGAAGAACTCAAAGAGGACAAGAGAATCAAGCTAGTGGCCAGAAAGTGACCAGCAAAGCAAGCTCTCCAAGGCAAGAGAGAGAGAGAGAGACATGAAGAGCAAAACAAAAAAGGCAAACGACTTGGCCAGGCCTGGTGCAGTGAACCAATTTCCTCCCAAGCCCTCCTTTCGCGAGCTCAAGATCTCTGTGAAGGCCTCGAAGGCTTGGGCATACCCAGCCTCAAACTTGCGTCCCGTCATGGTGGCATGGTCGGCCAAAGATTGAAAGCATTCCACGGGGTCCGGCATCGACAAAGCCTCTGCCGGCTTGTAAAAAAGACAATTCACATCGCCCCCGAGGCTGAAGAAAGTACCCTTGCCGCCATCCATCTGGATAGCCCTGTAAAAGGCTGTGCCCGTTTGCACTGGCACGTAACTGTCACTGAAAAGGATGAAGTTACCCATGAGGCGTCCGGCACAAAGCTCGGTGGCGGTAGACTCCTTGGCGATCAACTTGGAATAGTAGGCCTCACCATCATGCTCCATGTCATGAGGGTGGAAATCATGGAAGGCCTCACGAGACCAGGTGGCTTCGTGTGCCTGACGCTTCCGGCGCTGCAGCACATTGTAAATTTTGAAGCGTGTATCATAGATCTCGGCATACCATTTCGTTGGCATGGTTTCAGGGAAAGTCCTTGCATCACCTCCTGTCTTGGTCAGGTAGAAGATCATATGCTCAATCAAAGGACCACGGAATACATCGTAGTACTCAAAGGATGGTCGTTGGTAGAGCAGCTTGTTGTTCTGACGAGTCGTTCCACGACCATCAAAGGTCTCCCAATTCCTCTTCAAGACCGCTTTGTTCTTGGCATCATAGTCCTTGCTCTCAGGGTCCTCTACAGCACTGGCCAAGTGGTTGTGATAGAAGTGATGCTTCTCCACGAAAGCCTGCCAGTACTGGTCCGCATCCAACCATTCAGATTGGGAGAGCAAAGAGATGGGAGGGTTCTGAAAAGAGATCCATAAAGCACGGGCACCATTCTTCAGAATCTGCTCCGATTTCTCAACTGACTTCTGGCAGCTTTGGACAGAGGCATCAAAAAGTTCCCAGCCTTCTGTCTGCTTTTTCACAGCTGCGGTATGGTCCTCCTTCAGGACTTGCTCCAGCAGCGTTGACTGCTGCTCATGAAAGCTCTTTAGGCATCCCAAGACTTCTTTGTTGCTGATGCGTGCATCCCACGAAGACCAGTCAATGGCCTTTGGTGGGGCAGCGGTTTCCACCATGGATGTCACCTGGCTGTCACGTACTCGGAGCTTTCGGAACTCCTCCTGGTTCTTCTCACCAACCGCATACTCCTGGAGCATGTGCCATCGGTCCCTCCTGGGGAGGGCGCGGACACCACGGATGCCACGACGCATCATGGCGGTTGCCGGGCTGTGTCGCACGAGTGCACCTGGCCCGACCGGCAGCTTGAGCCCAGTGCGAAAGATCAGAGAATCTTGAAGAACCCTCACCTAACAGCAAAAAGAACCTAATAGCAATGGCCTCCACCCTACTAGCAATGGCCTCCAACCTACTAGCCTCTTGTTTCTTCAGACCAGGGAGGCCGGTAAGTGGTTCCTAAGGTCCTAGACTGTTAGTGAAACTTGACTTGCACCTGTTCTTTCAGACGGCTTTCGCTCTTGAAAGGAACAGCAGCTGTTCACTCGACTTGCAACCTTGGATGCAAAGAACTTAGGCATCTGGCTCAGCGGCCAGCGCCAAGCCAGCTGCAACACAGCGCTTCTTTGTGCCCTGGCACTAAGCCGGGGTCATTAATTAAGGTGTTTCTTGCGGGCTCTTAGGTTGGCCATCGCTAGTTGGTGCCCTTCCTCACCTGCGCCTCAGCCACTTGAGTTTCTGTCTCCACCTGTCAAAAGGACAAGTTGGTTCAAGTTGGTCGTTTTTCCAAGTGTGACACGTTCTTGTTGCATAGTGCATTCTTGTGAAGTATATCATCTCTACCAAAGACAGCAAGACATCAGTGGCCTGCAAGCGCTTCGCCAGTTGACCGAAGCATCGAGTCTGCTCCTGCAGTTGGCCGTCTCATGCTCTTCCAATGCCCCCACTCCAGGGTGCGAGCTGCACCCTATGGTGTCGGCATGGGGCAAATAGCTTGGGTTGTTCGTGATTTTTCGATAAGGTTGTTCGCACAACAAACACAAGCTGACCAGTTCAACCAGGACTGAGAAACCGCACCCACAGCATCGCGGCAACGGCTCCAGTGGCCGCCGGCCTAGCTTTCACCAAAAATCAGAGGTTCAAACTCACACTCCCAATGCCGCTGGGCCCACCTTGACGTCGCCTCGGCCTGGCACAAGGCACAAAGGTGCCAAAGGGCAGCTGAGCATTGTTCCAACCACTTGAACAGCTCGAAGTATGCACCCGGGGGCACCTCCCCATCATCAGCATACGATGCAGGCCTTCCAAGCACACACTGTTCGTTCCAACCGGGCTCTTGGATTCTTGGATTGTGGCCATGGTTCCCATATGATCACAGAGTTTTCCAAGTCTGCTCACACAAAAACTACTGACAGGTGCGATGCACAGGTGCAATGGAGTGAAATGATTGAGCCCCTCAAGGGCCCAAACGTTGCAATGGCTTGTTCACAAGCTAAGGCCTCAGACGCACATTGCCACCAAATGGCATGCTGCACTCTTCAACGCTTCAAGGGAGGGTGTGACTAAACTTGATATGTGGATCACTGTGAATCTCCTTGATGTCTTCCCCCCACCCTTTTCCGGGAGTCCCTTCTGCACAAACCGAGTCGCAAGTCTGCACTTCTGGGGTAAGATACGCTGTGTGTGAACATGCATGTTTGAACGAGTCTAGAATTCCAGAAGAGACGGACTGCAACAAATTTGCAAAGCAAGTGCTCAGTGGCCCGCCAAGGCTTTCAGTGCTCTGCCTGTTCACGAAAAAGTGGCGTTCCTTCTATTCCACAACATAGACAATTTCTGACGTCAGAGCCTCACAATGTGGTTCTTGCTTTTCCACGCGCTTATAACTTGAGAAGACTTAAGAAGGATCGCACCTTTCCACAGAGAAGCTTAAGCACTTAAGCACGACAACATTGGCGAAAATGTTCAGCTGCCTATAGCCAAGAGCTGCGTGCCATCGTTGGCCACCCGGCTCTTCTCCAAATCATGGCCTCCCACGACTACACGGCAAAAAGGGATCCGGCTTGCAGTTCTGCGGCTCGTTTCCGGGTTCAAGTGTGGTGCCTGGCATCTTCAGCAAGGCAGTGACCTCTAGGATGAGGGTTCGGATTTGTTTTGGACCTCTCTTGGTATCTTTCTTGCCGACTCTGAGTTTCTCACAAGACGTCCCAATGACAACAGGACCTTTGGGCGGAAAACTGTCGATTCAAAACTGCTCAAGTTTAAGCTGACTTGCTCTTGTAATTTGTCAGAGTCAGAACTTTGAGGACATGTACTTTCTGCTGTGTGGCGAAACTTTAGCAACTAGGAGCAAGAAGCTACTAGTAGCTCCCGGCCTTACTACTAGGAACAAGAAGCTACTAGGAACAAAGGGCATCGCTACTAGGAGCAAGGACGCCATTAGTCGCTCATGAAGAACACAATTATTCTTACATTGCAACGTGACTGATGTCTTGGTGCTCTCTCAGCCGTGAGGTCTGTGTGGGCCTGCACCGAATGACGGGCACCACCAGGGCGCGCAGCCTCAACAATACTTGGTGCTGAAATCGGCTGATGGCCCTCACTGGGCTGATTTTGATCTCTACCTATGTGGGAAATTGGACAAAATTGGACTTTCCCTCTCTCCCTCTCTTTTTTTTGCTCGGTACTCCTTACACCCAATTCTCCTCCAGCCATCGTCCCTTGTGGAATTCGAACCATTCCGGATCTTAGTCTGTCAGCAGAGCGAATCGATGCCATACCAACTAGGCAACTGGAGTACCTCTCTCTCCCTCCCTCCCTCCCTCCCTCCCTCCCTCCCTCTCCCTCCCTCTCTCTCTCTCTCTCTTTCTGTCGCTCCTGAGAGCGTCTGCTGTTCAATCTGGTTCGGTAGACACCGAAAAAAAAAATCGGTGGCCTGATTGGCAGTCCATTCAGCAACCTGCAGCGAGAGTATGTATGCTTCTTGACTGTGCACTGACCATATCTAAGACTGCGGCAAGCTTTCTTTCTTTCTTTCTTTCTGTCTTTCTTTTTTTCTCTCTCTCTCTCTCTCTCTCTCTCTCTGCAGTTCATCCCAAAAACGTCTTGTTTAGCCCACAGCAGCGACATCTAGCAATTGAGGCTCGTTCTGAGAGTCTCAGAGCCACTCCTTCAGCTGCAAAGGTCGCAGCCTTGGCTTCAAACTTTCAAGTTGATTCTGGTTGGTTGGAGGCAGAGTCAGACAAAGTCCCGCACTCGCAACGCAGCTTCCAAGCAATTGATCACCTGGCCAAAGTATCAAATGATTGTCATCCACAAGCTGCAATAATAAATAAGTGAATCCCGGTACTGCCCGCACCTCGAGTAGAACCGGAAAGCTTCCAAGCTCTTTGGAGCCGGCTAAACTCATGATCCATGGCCTCCATACACACACCCATGCTGATGTTTGCATCTGATGTTTGCATGTACAAATTGATATAAATTGCGCAACAAACACTGCGGCAGCATCACTGAGCTCCAAGCAGTACATGCCCTCGGGCAAGGGCCCGCCTCGACAAATCGTCCCCGCCAGGTTCAGCTCTGCCTGGCATCGCTAGTAGTAGCTTCTTGCTACTATATAGTAGCTTCTTGTTACCAGTAGTAATGGCCTCCAACCTAATAGCGATGGCCTCCACCGTGCGTAGCTTCTTGTTTCGATTCCGTTCGTCGTGTCTTCCTTCGGCTTGACGTCGGCGCCTCCAGGGGCCAAAGCCCGCCGCAGCAGCCTCAAGAACCAAAGCCGCGCCTGCGGTCGCTAAAAATGGCCCAACAAATAGCAACAGCTCTGTAAACAGCTCCTGCAAAGGCTTTCCTATGAAGAATTCTGAATTCGTTTCCACCTCTTGGCTAGAGTCCATATTGCCGGAAAGCCTCCATGGCACAAGCATCTTTGCATGAATTTACAGGTTGTGCCTTCCTCTGTCGGGCGATAATCAAGAAGCAGCATGTTTGACTAAGCCTCACACACCAGTTTCAGGAATAGGGGCACTGCCTAGCGTGGCGAGCAGAAACAAGCTGCAAATCTACAGAACCCGGAACGTACGAGCTCGCCTGGAAATCGGCCATCGGTTTCCCAAAGAGATACCTCCAGCTGACATCTACTGACAGGTACTAACAAACTCAACGACTTCAATCTCAGCTTCTTGGTTGAAAGGAAGTGGAGGCTCGCAAGTCATGATCCATTTGGAATTTTGAATGACGCACTTGAAGCTTGCAATGAATGGCACTTTGCCAACATTTGATAGAGCATGTGCTGGGGCTGAATCAGAATTGGCCTCAGTGTTTGCTTGTTTCACACATTTTGGAGCTTTTCTTCTTACGAGTCCTCTGCAGTATTGGCAACCGTACATCATTGGCAACTGAGCTTAGAGCACGCACGCTGCAAAAAAGGAAGCCGCCAGTCGTGGCAGAGTCGGAGGGAAACCATCCTTGATTCAGTATGCAAGACTACACAACTCACAGTTCACACCTTAATTTGTTCATATTTGTTCTTTTTGATTCTTTGGGCGTCTTGGCTTCATTTGTGTTTTGTGTTGTACTCAATCTCCACGCTAGTCTTGTGCTACATCCCGCGATACATCCGGTGCCTCTGGAGCTTCAATCCCATCACGCACGAAGCACAACAAACGAACCTTGGTACGACTGGAAAACTGATTTCATAGAATGTTGGATCAAGTTCCCCTGGTCCGTGGCCAGTTCCGGGAGCTCCCGAAAAGGCAGGCGTTTGTTCACCTCAAGTGCCAAGCAATCAAGCGGAATGTGTGTCGTCGTGTGCCTGGGTCAGAAGGGCCTTGTAGCCTAAGGCCTAATGGTCAAAATGATGGCTTGTTGCACATGGCCTCGTCCTTCTCGAAGCTGGTCACGTTCCAAAAGTAAGACATTGCAAGCACGATCGAGAGCGCCTCAATTTCCAAAGGCACGCGGCACAAATATTTAAATTTATATAGCTGTTTTGCTTCCCATGCAACCGCAACCTGTTCAAAGCCCTGCCTCGAAAGCACAAGCACGAAGCATCCCATTGCTGCCTTGCAAACACCAATCGTGCGACTCATGTTCGGCCCAAGAAGTGGACCCGTCGTTAACAGTGGCTAACATCCAAAACATGCTTTTCTAGCCCGTGGCCCTGCCTAAGTAGGCTCCTACTTAAGTAAGTAAGGAGTTTGTAGTTCGCTCCTAGTTAGGACGCAGGATAGCTCATGCACTAATGATTTGGCTTTTTCGGGTCCTAGATGATCCTAACCCCCCAAAAGAATCTCTCATGATTGCTCTAGCCGGTGCTAAGTTCAAGGCAAGCAGTGGACAGCAAGAGTATTTCCAGCGTTCCACCACACATCACAGCATTCAGGGTGGCCCCCAACGTCTGCGAGGCCACACCATGACCTGAAGCCACACTTCGCGTTTCGTGATCTGCTGTGCTTGAAGGAGCTGAAGCGTACTCCAGGAGCTGAAGTGACTGACTGGGGGACCTGCTTTCCTGGTATGTTAACCTGAGCTGACCCGCAAGGAAGGGGAGCAAGTAAGCAATGTCATAGGAGTCACTCTCGGCAGCTTTGTCCTGCGATACGGCGATGCGCGAGAAACGAATCAGAAACATGTCATTGGCTATCTCATCCGGAACATCCAGAACCTATACAAAGCATTACAATCTGTTCATTATTAATTGCTAAAATACTTATGAATACGTCTTTGAAGAACAGGTTTCTCAACATGTGTGTTTTTCTTTGTGTCTCCAGGTCTCTAGAATCTATAGCCCAGCCCGTCCAGAGTCTGATTCCATGCGTCAGAGTAGGGAGACGCGTCGCCCTCTGCGAGCCGGTTGAAGCGGAAGTGATCCGTGGTCGCCCGAAGTCTGCGTTGATCTAAGTCCCACTCCCAAGAAGCAATCCAAGGTTTCAGATTCTGCGCCCAGGAGCGGAAAGACCAAGGTCTTTGAGGTCTTTGTCCATCGTCCGTATCTTCCATGCTCAGAAGCAGCTTTTGGGCCAAAAGGTCTCTTGGTGAACAAGAGGCTCTATAGCTCTTCTGCACTTTCTCTACAAAGTCCTGCAACTTCTTGGAACCACCAGGTACTTGTTGAAGCTCGGGCCACCAAAGCACTGCATGTTGCAGGAGCCACTCTGGCACTTCGGTGTCTTCACCTGAACTCTCCACTGTCGTTTCAGCCCAATGAGTTGGGAAGCACACTTTGAAAAGCAAATGAGATCGCCCCTTCGTGCGAGGAGAAACAGCACACCTAAAAGAGAAGAACAAAACAATGGGAAAAGAAGGAGTCTGGTGTACATCTTCAGACCGTCTAAGCACAAAGCTCGTGGATAGCAAGCGTCGGGCTGCTGGCAGCTGCCAAGACTGCCGCTGGCGCCCGTGCAACGCCCTGAGCACTATGGCGGCTGCTTCTGCCGTGCAGCCACTGAAAGACTTCACCTCATTCTTGCGATCTCACACTCAAAGGGGTTGGTCTTTTGCCACCAATGATTGAAAACACTGCATCAAACTCTAAGAACGTCAAAGGAATTGGCTAAATGTACTGCACAAGGATGTACAATGACTATTCTAAGTTTGCGAGTTCTTGCGGCACTCCCCACTAGCAGCTTCTCGATCTGTCAGTTGAGTCCGAGGCCAAGTCCTTCAGCTTCTCACTCAGATCCTCCAGTGCAGTCTCTGGCAGAGACTTCACAAGAACCTTTGCAGCTGTCAGCCTGAGGCCATCAGAACTTTGGCAGTCCCTTTCCGTGTCCCTCTGTGATCCCCCAGGGTTCTGAAATCGTCAGGAAAACCCTGGGTGATCCTCTCACCACGAAGAGATGCTTTCCGAACAAGTGCATTTCTGTGAATTTCTGTCGCCAGGGCACATCTGCGCATCAGACAGTTCAATTGCACTCATGGAATCCAAGAAGTTGCCTTGCTTCGCGCAAGTCTCCATCGGTCATACCCATCTAGTCTGACTCATCAACCAGTCGTGTTTCCCACAGCTCAGGTGAGCACCGATGGCATTTGCCTTGCCTCGTGCTAGGTCAAGCTCAAGCCGGAAGCTGCAAGAGCCTGAGGAGCCCAAACATTTGGAAAATGCCTGGTGACGCTTACAGTATCAAAAATGATCAAAGCAAGTTCTCCGTTAGCCCTCAGACCGCAGCGGAACGCCCCTCCCTCCTGGTTTCAGCCAAGATCAAGAGCAGTCAATCCAGAGAGACTGCCAACAGAGTGACTCGGAGAAGGGCTCGACTTTTGCAGGCTGTTCCTATTTCGCTATGCCCAGGTGTGGACCGGTGGACAGTTGCATTGACCCAATTGCTATGAGCCTCTTCTTCCAGGGCTGCTATAACCAACTTCTCCAGAACTGGAGCATGATTGCTTGCAAACCTTGGGCAACGTGAAGGTGGCACTCAAAAAGATTCGCAGAGTCGTAATGTCAGGAAAATGGCATTCTCCAGAAAGGGCACTCATGTTTCGTTGGTGTTCAACCTTGGTGGTGGGATCATACCTAGGAGCCAAATTCCTGTGATGGGCCTTGCAGCATCGTCATTTCAGTTGCCAGTTCAGCACCAATGCCAGCAACATGGTTTAAAACGCAAACATGTCCAGTCACGGTGTCCCACTCTCGGTTTCAATTTGCTTGAACCCTCTTTGGCAGTGCGGTAGAGGTTGCAAAGTGGAAACTTAGCATCTGGTGAGCTAATGTGACAGCCGGCCACCAGCCGCTAGCATTATCAAGTTAGCCCGACACGACAGGCTTTTCAGTGGTTCTGACTTGAACATGTGTTCGTCTTGGGCTCGTACAGGCATCGCAAGCTGTCCTCCACTCTTCATATCATGTGTTTTTTCCCGAAGCCATTTGTGTTACCTTAACAGTTTGACTCAAGGTGACAGTATCGGAATCTCCTCAGGCGGTAAAGGTTGCAAAGAGGCCGCAGTAACGGTTTGGGCCTTGGCCACTCTGGGGCCAAGATTCTTGTGTTTGGATGGTTTCAGTGAACATAAGATACCAACTCATCCAATCTGTCCTTTTGCGGTAATGTGGTTGGCAACTTGTTGATGCCACGTCAAAATGAGCTGGTGTGCAAACTGAGCGTAGCTTTGACTGCCTGTGACCTTGAGCTCCAGGCTCCATCAAGTGCCACTAGCGGCTCCCTGCCACTCTTCAGAGTCAAAGTCTGATGGATTTCACAAGAGTTGAAATCTTGTAGAGCTACCTCAAGGACTTTGGGAGAAATGAGAACAGCATAAACTGAAAAGCTGAAACGAGCTGGCTGGACGGCGCCAAAGCCGCTGCCAAACGCAGCACCTGAATGGGGAGAAGGACATAGGTTGAAATTCGTCAAGACAGGCAGGCAAGGTCTTGTTTCAAGCAACATGTAAACGAGATGGACACCCACTGGCTTTAGTCTATACTTCCTTGTTTAATAAAGGAAAAGTTTGACATTGGAACACATGTTTGTTGCTGTGTGATTAGTTTTAAAGGTGGTCTTGATTTGGCTTTGAGGATTGTAGTTTTGGTGGCCTGCATATTGGCACCCTCATCCTGGTACACCCCCAACAATGAGCGGAATTGTCGATTCCTGCTCATGTGAATGTTCTACATGTCTGTTGGAGCACTCTAAGTGGCTAGGCTGCGCAGGCTGCCGCCTATCTCCCATGTAATGCCATAAACCAAACGGAGACAGGACAAGTATATAGACAAGACGACAAGACGGTCTTCCCAAAAACTCTCAAGACATCGAGGATATCATCAATGACACTCGTCAAACACTGAGGGACACTCAAGGATGTCCCGGTCCCTGAGATTTATAAGTTTCTAACTTGAAGAGAAATGTCCTGTGACCACAACGGGTAATTACATGTACAGTAGTTACTTTATTGTTCAATCAGCTCAGCGCCCCCGCTGCTGCAGGTTTGCCGCTGAGCCAGGAAAGTTGAAGTGCCAAAGCTTTCCGAATCTGCGGATGTATCCAGCCTCTTGCGAATGACTCGGCGGGCCAAACCCGCACAGCACAATGCGAGCACTCTGCACTGTTTGCATCTGTTTGCACTATTGTCAGGGTTCAAGAAGTTCAAGAACCTAAGAGTCAGGCTGAGCTGCTGAAACAATGAAACCATAGGGAGAGTCAAGCCTTTCAGAGTCCAAACAGCATCTTAATCTTGAGCGATGCAAGAGTCAGTATGACATCAAAAAAAACACCCAGGCCGGTCTAGGTGTGCATTCTTCCAGTTGCCTGAATCCAACTCAGGTGTCCGGAACTGAAGCCTGGGCGCGCACTACCTTTAGAATCTGAATGAAAGAATACTCGAGGGTCAAAGAAGAGAGATCACAAGCAAATAGTCCCTGGATTCCCAGAATCATTACAGTAATTCCGAGGTATTCAAATCTGCATCTTGTCACCAAAAGCTGGCAATGACACAGGTTCTTTCAATAAGCTCTCAGCAGCTCGGTGGTGAGTGCTAACCGGACAAGCGCCATGCGGTCCCAGCAAATCACCTGGTACAGCTGGGATCGCCTCTATATTCCACAGTGGGATCCAAAAGACTGCCAATTCCTCGTCAATTTGGATGGAACAAGAGCCACGCCTTTGGTATAGCTGGGCATGGGGTCTTGACCAAGCCATGCAGGACGCTGAGCCTGTGAATTTCTTCAACCCGTCCCAAACTCTCAGAGTCCATCAACCTGCTTGGTCTGGACCTCTGATTGGCATCCAGCTCCAGGAATCGTTGCTTGTGAGTGTCCACCGCCTTCGTTCCAAAACGTCCAACCCCCTAAACCAACGGTTGGACGAGAAAACAAAACTAGTATGCTTTCTTTACCATGCCAACTGCTTACATGGTGGCCTTGGAGCGCAAAGAGACCATGGTGTTCAAGACTTCATCAGCTATGTCGACTTGGGCGCTGTCAGCCACTGCCTGTCTTCAAAGCAATGCACCTTTTAATTGCCTAAGTCTCTTGGTTTTATTATCCTTTGGAGGTGCACACTACAAAGCATTTTACCCAACATGACCAGACGAACCATTTTACGCCCCGCATCCACTGCTTTTGCAAAGGCATCGGGCGCCCGCTTTGGGCGCCTGAGTTCCATTAACAAACCAAAAGCGCCAGGCTATGGCTGCCACGTCAGGGACATCCCAAAGCCCCGGGTCTGTGGGCGCGCTTGTGCAGGTGGCTGCACCACATGTGGCACTGGCACCACATGTGGCACCGGCACCACGTGGGGCACAGGTACTACATGCGGCTGCATCCCTCGTGCAAGCGGCTGCACCACATGTGGCTGGGGAACTTGCACCACATGAGCTGGTACGACTGATACGACGTGCGGCCGTGCCAATTGCGGTGGCTGCACCACTTGAGGCTTTGCTGCAAGCATTGGCAGCGCCGGCAGCACCACAGGGTGTCTGACCACTGGTGGTCTTGCCGAGTGTGGTCTGGCCAGCACAGGCTCTCTTGCAACAGGCGATTTGGCCACTTGCATAAATGGTTTCCCTACTGGTCTGGCCACCACAGGCTCTTTTGCAAGAGGCGATTTGGCAACTGCTAGGGATGGTTTCCCTGCTTCCTCAGGAAGTCTCTTGACCAAACCTGGTGCTAGCGGACCTACTGGCAAGGGCCCACTGGCTGCTGGTGGCATCAATCTTGGGCGCTTGGATTCTGACTCTGTTGGGGAAACCAATGGTCTCTTCATGGATGCAGCCAAGGCAGGTGGCATAGCCTTGGCTGCTGGGGACCTGGCTGTCACTGTGTCAGGTGCCCTCACAGGTAGTGTTTTGGCAGGTACCACTTGCCCTGTCTTGACAGGCGCGGCTTTTGCAGGGACAGTGACTGGTCCTTTTTTTAACTCAGGGGTCTTAGGGTCGTTGCTCCCCTGGTCAGCGACTGGCCATCCCTCGGCAGGAATTCCGCCCCGCGCGATGAAATCCTGCAGTTGAAGTAGCACATCACCATCAGCTGGAGCAAAACGTGCCATGACCTTTTGACGCAAAGAGCGCTCCAAAGGTGCCAGAAGCATCTTTGCCTTTGTTAGATCCAATCCATGCTTATTCACAAAGACCAACACTTGTTGCATCTCAATGATGGGCAAGGCTGGGGCAACGATTATCGCTCTCGGCTCCTTGCAGGAAGGGTTTCGAACCGATTCGAATCGATGGAACCGAAAGCTGAACGAATGCAATGAGCCAGAAAAGTTAGTGATCTGAATGTAAACAATACTAGTAGCGAGGACGCTACTAGGGGCTCCTGGCCTTACTACTAGGAGCAAGGACGCTACGAACGGGGCTCCTAAATATCAATTGCTCAAACACAGCCGAACCGAAAAGCGAGACGAACGGTTACACCCCGAGGTCAATCAGCAAAATCAGCAAAGTGCTTTGCCCATACAGCATGTCACTGGCGCGGCCCGGCTTCAGGCAAGTTCACAAGTTGCGTTCCTTCCATTTCCTTTCCTTGTCCTTTCCTTTTCTTTGCTTTCCTTTCCTTTCCTTTTGCTTTCCCTGTCCTGTCTTGTCTAGTCTTGTCTTGTCTAGTTTATCTTTTCCTTGCTTTTCTTTACTCCACTACGTAACTTGTGTCTCACAGAACTGAAACGGTTCAAAAGAACACTTTTCCAACCGAACCGAACCGAGTTGAAATTCCGATTAAACATTCAAACCGATTCCAACCGAACCGAAGGTCCTTGGGAGGAGTCTGTGCTGGTGATGCCTCTGATGGTATCCCAGCAAATGGCGCTGTTGGAGGCTTGCGATTCTCCGGTAGAGAAGGTAGCTTGAGCTCTTCCAAAGGTGGTGGGTCAGGAGCACCAGCCTCTGCTCGATGCGCGAAGAAGGCTTGGATGTCCATCTTCATCAGCTCGCACTGCCACTGCCCACCCTTAAAATAATCCTCGACTTCCGCCAAAGGATACAGCCTGTAAAGCTCTTTGAAAAGCTCTGCATCACTTTTTCGTAGTGCGGCCTCTAACCAAAGCTCGCCATATGTGTCATATGTCATCTGCATCCACTCAACAGAGGTCTCTGTGACCTGAAAATCTTCGCTGTGTCCATGCACGGAAACGGCAAAAGAAAACCTAAAGTCTCGTAATGCCTATTGCGTGTAGTCTTCCAAAGCTCTCGAGCCGATTTGTTCATCCAAGTCGTTCAAAGCCTCAGCCTGGCCATGCCTCAAAGGTTTTGCCAAGTCCGTCTTCTTTGTTGTCTTGCTTTTTCCATATTCTATATCCTTGCCTCCTGCCCTCCTCCCTGCCTGCCTGCCTGCCTTCCTCCTTTGCTCCCTCCCTCCCTCCACCCTGCCTGCCGGCCGGCCGGCCTTCCTTCCTTCCTTCCGCCCGCCCATCCGTCCTTCCGTCCGTCCGCACGTTCGTCCGTCCATCCATCCATCCTTCCTTCTCTCCAAGTGTTTGTTTAGATTAGAGTCAACAAATGTGAGCGGTGAGCAGCATACTGTATTCACATGTATTCACCCCTCCTCAACGGGAGGATCTTCGTCACGCTTTCGCTTCCTTCAGTATCAGTGTATCGTGCTGAATCTCATCCGCTAAAATTCGGTTGCATCCGTCAAATGAGCACGTGACTTGGATTGAAGCTTCTCAAGGAGTTGCCTTACATCCAAGAGAACGTGCTTCAAAGAACCGCTTTGCAGCATCCCAAGGGCTCAAACTGGCGGATCTCTTCAATTCCATTTTGAGGTCCTTCACCTTCCACCGTCTCCTTTGCCTGCCTTGGGAGGTTCAATGAGGTTCAAAAGAATGTCACAAAAAGGAAGAGAACTGAAGAAATCCTAGATTAAAAATGATGATGCTAGATGCAAATTCATGAAAATTGTGTCCTTTTTGCTTTAAAGGTGATGCTGAGCCTTGTGCTCTTCAGGTGTGGACACCTGCAGGGAGCCCAAGTCCAAAACACCAACAGGCTCCACAGGTTTTTACGTTTCAACGCTTCAGGGCCGCACAGACCCCGCACGCCATTCTCCAATCCCACGAACCACAGACAGTAGAGGCTTTGCCGTCTCTGGCAAAGACCTCAAAAAAATAGAAGAAAGGAGAATCCAACATAATCCAACATGTCTAAAGTCTAAACCTGTCTGTGCCACCAGTCCGGCTCAACCTGACTTGACAAGCGATGACAGGCCGCCAACCTGCTAAGGTTCACGCGTCGCCATCAGCAGCAGGAACTGCTTCACCATCTTGGAACATGCTGTTGCCATCTTCAAACCTCATACCAGTATGGAGCTATACGGAGCTTTTGAGGAGCCTGGTCTACTGGTCAGAAGTATGTAGATGAGTGTGTCTTGCCATGGCCAAGGCCACCTGCAGTGTCTAGACGCTGAGCCTCCAGGCGCTGCTCAGCTGGCGCATTCCCGGGCAAGGCCAGGCTCTGTGGGTCTCGTCTTGTGAGGTGCTGCAGCAATGCGACCGGCAGCAGGGAGGGTGCCTTACCAGGCCCTGGGCCCACTGGACCCACTGGACCGAAAGCTTCGTTCCCCCTAATAGCGTCCTTGTCACTAGTAGTACAGCCAGGAGCCCCTAGTAGCTCCTAGTAGCGATGCCAGGGAGCCCCTAGTAGCTTCTTGTTCCTAGTTCACAACCTGGTTCCTGCAATTACACTGTGACCCCCTTGGCCCGACTTGGCCCGACTTGGCCCGACTTGGCCCGACTGGGGAATTGCTGTTGCTCTAAAAATGCTTCTGATGCCTGTGCTTAGTGAGGAAATGCCACAAGAAGCTAGAAGGTGCGCAGTGCTTGCAAGATCAAACGGTGTCGGCACTGGCACCGCTTCTGCAACAATCTGTTCAGTCCGCTCAAGATGCCTCCACCAAAGACATGAAGTACCCAGGTCGGGCAAAGAGTGCTTGCAGCACCTACACCAAATCAGGGTCTTGTCATAATGCTTTACCGCAGAGCGCCAAACAGCATTCCACTTAGCTATCACTTTTAAGCTGGAACTCTTGAGCCAGCCGAAAGATCAAATCCCCAAGCCTGGCCAAGGAAGCCCACACACTGGGGCCGCTTCTCCAGGGCTGTCAAAAGGAGCTTGATCTCCAACTTCTCGTCGGAACCCAGCAAACCCCGGCCCAAAAGAAACTCCACCGTTTGCCTCAGCAATTGAAACATGTTGAAACCATTCAAGGTCTGGTCACACTCTTGCAAATGTAATCAAATGTAAACTCACGGAATTTTGTTGCACATAGACTAGATAGATACTCAAGAAGCCTTGAAGATCAGACCAAAAAACAGGCGGGTTCAGGCTCCTGCTCAGTGCACTCTTGACGGAGCTCGGTGCAAACATCGGCAGAGCGCAGTCGCAGCAAGGTCTGAAGCGGGCGGCGAAAAAGTGTAAAGACTCAAGTCATAAGGGTCATGCTTCTTCAAGTGCTAGTCCAGTCATGTGCTCATGAGCTGCTTATGATGACACTGCCACAGTGATCACTCATCACAAAAACGTTCTGACGTGGGTCGAAGCTACGAATCGCAGTGACCCCGCGAACGCAGTGCCGTTGGGTCGTTGCTTCCGACCAACGCAGTGCGCCTCCAACCAGGATCGCTGTGATTTGGACAGCTGCATAGATTCTGCGCGAGCACGCCTTGACAACTCCGACAAAAGGATTCTCTGATGCCATGACACTGAAACCATGGCACAAGGATCATGATGACTTGTAAACAAGTGACAAAGGGGAGTTATAGCTACTAGGAGCAAGGGCGCTCCTAGGGGCTCCTGGCCTTACTACTAGGAGCAAGGACGCTACTAGGAGCGAAGGGCATCGCGACTAGGAGCAAGGACGCTACCTGTGCTGTTGCTGGAACTAAGTTGCCAGGCATGGCCGGAGCCACACAGGAGACGCATGCCAATGCACGTTCAAAGCATGGCGCACCTGCGCCGTTCGTGTTGACAGTGAACTACCGGAGATCTCACTACATGGGCACGTGATTTCGAAGGGTTTTGGGGACCATTTTGGGATGATTGTGCTGATTGATTTGCGTTGAAAAGTCTTACCAGACAAATGGGTCAATTCCGTACCCAACAAGATACAATAGTTTTGCCGCAGCCTGTAAGCCTGTGAGCCTTTGGGACCCCTGCTGAAATAATGTTTCTCGCGCATTGCTTAAGTTCCTAGATACTTGAATGCTCGGATGAGTCGCTCGAAAGCAGCTGCAAATCTTCTTGTCACTCTCCCTGATGTCGTTCCAACAGAAAACACAACATGATCGACAAAAACTGGTGGACCAAAACGATGTCAACGTGGTGCCTTTTGAGTCCAGGATCGGTGCGGCTACGGCTGACAAGAGCTTTGACCTGACAAGCTGCACTGGCCAGCTCTGACTGAATCTCTCTCTCTCGCTCTCTCTGCTCTCGTTCTCTCTCTTCAAAAGCCTTAGGTCTTGTTTTGCATCTTGGTCTCGAACCAGTCAAACTTGATATCAAGAGCACTTTGCGGAAGAACCTCAAGATACCTACAACGTTGGACGAAGCATCGGCAATAGGTGAAGAAAATGTCAACTCTTGCATCTTGCAGTGTGTAGTTCTTGTGTCACATATCACATATGTCTGTCTCTCCGCATGTCCAGAACAGTGATTCACAGCCAATACAACTCGGTGGGACAACATGTGTGCGTGTGGTTGTCCTTTAAGCCTTTCCCTTTGATGGAGTGATTAGTCCAACAGGGTTTTGCTGGAGACGGCAAGCCTCTGCACACTCTTGCACCAGGAGGTGAAGACCAAATGAGGTGGGAGGTCTACACCTTGGACCGTCACTTAAGGCCCCGATCAAAAGCTTCAAGGTGCTGAGGATGTGCACTTTAACATGTTTAATAGGGTGATGAGGAATCTTGATGTGCAAAGACCAATAAGACCAACTCCCCAGGATTCGGCAGGCTCAGGTCGTCTTGATTCGAGCAAACCTGAGTCCAAAACCCTTGAGCCCAAGCCACTTGGCCACCTCTTCTGGGGTGACCTCATGGCAAAGGAACCAGGGAACCAGGACGCTGCTAGTAGCTCCTGGCATTTCTACTAGTAACAAGAAGCTACTACGTAGTAGCAACGGGCATCACTACTAGGAACAAGCACGCTACTAGGAGATCCATCGTACAAGTTGTCATTGACAAACTGAGTCACTGCCCGCCTGCAAGGCTTCACCCTCACCATTCTCTTCCCTGAAGGCCACACAGTCTTCCTTTCTACCGCCCATCCCTAGCGAAGTGCTTAATTCTACTGCCAATCTTGAGGAAGCATGTGTACCTTCTGTGCTAATGTCCAAGAAGCATCAGACAAGGCACTGAGGCGCTTCTGCCTCTAAACCGTCTTCGCCTTCCGGCCTCAAGGAGCAAGGACGCTACTAGTAGCTCCTGGCATTACTACTAGTAGCAAGAAGCTACTAGTAGCAAGGTGCATCGCTATTAGTAACAAGTGCATCGCTACTAGTAGCTAGAAGCTTCCGAGTTCCGCTTCCGAACACCGCTCACTCTGCTGCGGTCTTAGTGCCCCAAACAGAGGCTGTGCCCGTTTCGACGTCGACCCTGGAGAGTGGGTGGACCTTCTACGTTTCAACTCAAGTAGAGTTTTTCAAGGTGTTCATTCCTCTGAGAGGATCATCAGGGTAAATAGGACATCAACAAGACATGCATAGAACTCAAAGCCTACCTTGCTGCTTCAGGTCAAAGGATGCCTCCTGCTGTCGGGAGAGATAACTCTAGGGCAATCAATGTCAAGACAAAGTGGATCTACAGTTGGAAAAAAAGGGCTGTGAGGACAAAGAGGAGGAGCCCCGCAGGGGCATGGATTGGTAGACCAATCGTCCGCATGACCAAACATGATTTCCAGCCACATTTGTGAGCCTATGAGCACACTTTTCTGACAAGACAAACCAACTGCAATGATTTCCAGAGCGCCCATCACTCCCTGCTGGGACATCTTGTCAATTACAGTAGCTTCCCAAGAGAAGAAAGTGCCACAGAGGTAAAGTCTATCTTCATGCACAGTGCATAGCACTGCATACCATTGCATAGCATTCATTCTGTGCCCACGCTATTTGGTTCATCTCTATATGCGGCCCCATAAGGAATTGCCACTGGGCCACTGGGTTCAGTGCATCGGATCGTCCTCCTTACTGAGGCGCTGCCAAAGCAACAGGAAGGTATTCAGCTCTGGCAACTGTTGCTGCGTTCGCTGCAGCAGCTCCTCACGTCGGACGGCTGTCAAACTTTTCAAATATGTTCAAATCAAGGTCAAACTAAGCCTCCCCATGGTCGAACTAAACAGCTTCTTTGGGAGTGTACTGAATTTAATATGCAAAGTCTCCAAACCACCATAAACAACCATCAATCCAGGATTCGGGTCATCAAACTGTACAAAGCTTCTGCAAGCTCTCCATGTATCCGACCCACCAGCTTCCTCCCTCTCAGCTGTTTCCCAACCACTAAAGCTGAAGGCCCGCTGCAGGCGGTCCAAAGCCTCAGTGTCTACTCAATCACCTTCTCTCCAAAGCCCCTCTTGATAGGCAACCTTCCAGACCTATGATCTATGCAAGTCTTCAAATGAGCCACAGTCGAAATGTCGCTGAAGGTCATCAGAATTTGTTGAGTGCGTTGTGTTTTCCGTGTCCATCACGCTGTCCTCACTCCTTTGTGAGATGATGTTGGAGCAAAACATGCATGTTGCACTCCACGAGAGCTCACTGACTACTTCTGAACAGTTTTGATCCTTAGCTTAAATCACGTTGCCCATATCATGGCAAAGGAGGAGGCTCTTTTTCAAAGTAAACAATTGTTTGATCTTCTGAGGAATAGGCTGCAATAAGAAGCTGCAAAGCTCCTAGCTGAACTACTGCATTCTTCTGCAGCAGAGCCTACAGTACAAATACAGGTTTGAAAACACCAGTGATGAATTCAATTGCTTCTCAATTCTCACAGAACTTCCAGGGCATTCTGATAAGACTTGAGGTTCACCTTGCCTTCTGCATCCGACATATATTGCTGCTCACTGGCAAATTCAAACGTACGTATTGTACAAAAAGTATGTGGCTTGGCGTTTACTTGCCCAAGCCTGTGTGATCAAGGTTTTCTGCATCGCTTTTGGCACTAAGGCTTCTTGAATCCAGGACCTTCGCACTGGTTTTGCATGCTTTGCATCACTGTTTGGCAGCACATGCTGAGCCATGTACAATCGCAGTTCTTGAATCGCCTCTGTCTTTTCGCTGCCAATTAAAGTCAGTGCCTGCAAGTGGCCAAACCTAGGAAGGACGCTACTAGTAGCTCCTGGCCTTACTACTAGGAGCAAGAAGCTACTAGTAACAAAGGGCATCGCTACTAGTAGCAAGATGTAGCAAGGACGCTACTAGTAACAAAGTGCGACCGCTATCCTGCGTCCTCGGTAGTAGCTTAAGTATGTACTAGCTAGCTACCTCTCTTCCACTAGCTACCCTACCTACCTCGACCTACCCCCGGCGGCTTCAAAAAGAGACCTTCAATTATCCAACCAAATCCACCACGCCCTTCTTGTGCCTCCGAACGCACGGAGGAGACGTCCATCTCCAGCAAGGTCCGAAGAAAGCGGACATTCAAAAGCCACCCCCTCCAAGTCCAAATTCACAGGGATGTTGTTTCCGGTTGGTATATTAGCTGGTCGGAAATGATATCTTTGAAAGGTTAGGCCCTGGGTGGACTTAAAGCCTCGCGTTTGCCACTACTGAGTTCCGCGGCAGCTTAACGCTGCATCGGTGGTTCCGCCGCGGGGATAATTTCTCTAAGCATCTTTCCTGACACTCAAAGAAGAAACCAGCCTCGAGAAGCGTGGTTGAAGAGGCAGCTTCAACCTGGAGCAGAACCTGAGAAATAGCCACTGCTGAGGACTGAGGGAAACCACTGATATCGTGATCAGTAGAAAGCTCGGTTTTTTTTCAGCAGTTTAACGTGTTCCTTGAACTCTTCCTTGGTGACAGTGCAGTAACAGTAACAACATTAAGTCTTGAAGATCCCATCAGGACACCTTCCTTTTGCTTCTCGCATTCAAACAGAAACCTTCCAGCCTAGCTGTGTCGGCTACGTTTAGGCCGTCACTGCAGAGGAAGGAGGTCACTAGCGTCAAAAGAAAGACAGCAAGAATTGAGGAGCCTTCTTGTCATTAGTCATTCATTGTGCCTGGCTATTTGCTTCCGAAGCTGAGTTCACGCTTGAAAAATACGTGAGCTCACTATGGTGAGTCGCCAGCATTGTAGCCTCAGGTTCTCGCAAAACCATCAAACCTGCTAAAGAAAAGAAGGAAGAGCAGAAAGAAACCAATTAAAAACGAAAGCAACAAAGTGTCTGCACGTTTTTGAGAATAAAGTCACTTCTGGTGACCAAACAAGTGTCCCTCATACGGTTTGATTGTCCTGTTCACATGCCGTTTCCTCCCACATGTCTTCAGGCGTGGCACTATTTTGTCGGGTGAAGGTGTCGCCTTCGCTGCGCTGCCTTCGGCGTTTGTTCTTCGGAGTGTTTTGTTTAAATCAAAAATATCGTTTCTCCAAGACCGCTCGTGCCTGGTAAAGTTTGCGAAGACCTCTTCCAAACGAGCTGCTCGTCCAATGGATGACTGATAGATCGTCCAATCTGCCACCTGTGGGGAAAAGTTATCTTTGCCGCCTTTGGGTTCGATTCCATCGCTATTAGGTTGGCGGCCATCGCTTTTAGGTCTTTGTTGTTTATATTGATATTGTTTTTACTTGTTTCTTTGCCACCTTTGGTCCCAACATGCAAACACCGTTTCCGGCAAGCATCTTCGAATGAAATATGTACGGGCCAGAATGCACGCCTTTTCAAAGAACAGATTTCAATATTGGGAAGCTGTCTGTTGCCAACAATTCGCACAAACACTTCAACGCTCAATTGGAAAAAAAGAGGATGCAGTTTTCTTCAGTTTCGTCACCATCTCTCTTTGGGATCGACACCTGAGGGTCCAGAGTCGCCAGAATGGAGGGATGTGTCCTCGTCGAAACGCCTCGGTCCACCGGGTTCGCCAGAGCCTCATCCTTGGCAGACACGGACCAAACATGACAGAGCCGGGGCCCATGTGGTCGTCTTTGACAAAAAGTCAGTCAACATGCTCTTCCGCGCAGTTTGGGTGTCAAGACCGCCAAGTCTCTCTGTTCATGTGGCTTTGATGAAAACTTTGCAGGTCTACTGAGTGATATCCATGGGCGTCAATGAAGACACAAGGCGCAAATGTCCTGCAAAGAACTGGGATGTCCTGCATCTGTCCCCTCACCAAAACCTGACCGGCACAGCATAGTGGTTGCCACCCGACTCCCCAAGGTTTGGACCATAAATCCACCCACCATGCACCTGCCCGTCCACAAGTCCACAAGAATCCACACCTGTCCTGTCCCAGAAGATATCATCCAAGGTGTAGGAGTGCCGTGCCTCAAAACTTGCTGCTGTGGTCTGCTCCACTCCGCTGACCTCAGAACCAAACCTCTTTTGGAATGCCAGCAGAACCAAACCTCTTCAGCGGACTCAAGCAAGCGGGCCTAGCACCTTTTGACATTCAATGAACTCGTGGCTCATCATGATGCCAGCGTGTGCCCCGGGTGGTTGGAACAGTTCAAGTTCATGTTCCAGTTCCAGATCCAAGTATCTGGGTGGTTGGAGAGGATCCAGTTCATGTTCCAGTTCCAGTTCCAATTCAGTACGCTTCAATGGGTCAATGACGTACATACCTCTCTTTGTTCCCCGACCCGTCCACATGTTGTTTTTTCCCGGGGGAGCAGTTCCTGTTCCAGTTCTAGTCAAAAAAACACGCATGGTGCGCAAAGTTTCTCCGAGTCTTGTACCAAAACCAAGATCTCCAAGTAGGTCGACCTTGGCTGCAACGACATACTTCTCTTGTGCCGCTTCCAGACACTTGAAGAAAGCTGAAGAATGTCTTTTTGACCAGGGAACTTCCTCATGTAGGCGCGGACACTCATCTCAGTGGGATAGCCTTCAGTACCTCGAGGTACGACCGGTGACAAAGGGCTTTCAAAGTCCACCTGGCGCAGTGTTCGACCGGTGGGGTGGGTTGATCGAACCCCCACTGAAACTCGTCCACCAAATGGATACAGTAGCGATGCCAGGAGCCCCGTTCGTAGCTTCTTGTTCCTAGTAGTAAGGCCAGGAGCCCCTAGTAGCGTCCTTGCTGGTTCATGAATCTTCTGAATGATTCAAAGGTTTTGAACCCCTAATTATATACTAGGTACCTGAAGTGTCGCGCATGTCACGCCTTGTGAACCACCTCCGTGGGAAGCCCAAGAAAAATCACACCGTTGTGCATGTCCATATCAGGTTCGATCAGGTCAAGCCTCAGCGGTCACATGGATTGCACTAGAGCATGCCAGGCTCCATCGCGAAGCATTTCTTCCAACATCTTCCAACGTAAAAAAAGCAGGTGTAGATCTGTTTAAAGCTCGCTCCCCCTCCCTACTTGTATAATTAAGTAGGTGCCTACTTAATTGAGTAAGGGAGAGGTAGCTAGTACCTTACTTAAGCTGGACGCAGGATAGCTCACGCTTCATTTGGTTCCTAGAATTTTTGGGAAACTTAAGTATGCAAACGAGTCTCGCATTGATTTCCACCCGTACTCCTTTGGGGTGTGAAGGATCCTGAACCGCAAGGCAGTCTGCCAATCACCCCAAATGAATGAGGTTGACTACGCACTCACAAAGTCCTTGTGATGCTGGACACAATAGACCTGAATCTTTCCTGCAGCTGCACTATATAGATCACTATCCAGCTGCAAACGAATCCTATGCGCACCTTGAGATAGCGTGAAGCCAGTCCTGCAGAATGCAACTATCCTTGCAAAGGGTTTCCCAAACACTTCACTGAACAAAGGCAAAGCATTTACTGTATGTATAGTTACTATCCGGGCAAACAGCGAGGAGCATGCCCCTCATCTTCAGAAAACTCCCCAGAGCTGTTCAGAAACCCTGGCTCTCCTCTTGGCGATGCGAAATGTGAGGTGGACACAGCCATCAGTGACGCGTAGAAGTGCTGTATCACTGAAAATCACACTCGCTGCATGGGCGCTCGCCTGGGAATCGGCAAATCCCTGAAAGTGTGCAGAAGTTCTGCAGAAGCATCTGTGAAACGTCCTAACAAATTCTGCTTCTGCTTCAAAGCGTCAGCCGAGATCCTCAGCAAGTGAAATCGACTTCGAGCGGAGGGACAAAGGGAGCATTGATCAGTTTCAGCCTCTGTGGTGATTCGCATGTGAAACGGACCTTGAAAACAAAAGCCTCCTTTCCTGCCAAGCCTCTGTGCAAAGACAACACCAATGACCGCAGCATCCAAGACCTGGCCACAGACCACCTGAATCAGCGAAGCTTTTGAGTTAAAAGCCTTCTGAGGGCTTGCTGACACCCACAACCAAAACTGACACCCACCCACATCTGGAAAACCGTCACATGCGTCACTCTGAACAGCTGCCAGCCTGCAGTGGAAGTAAAACCACCGCTTCTGGGCAGCCATCGAAATTTTCTTTAGGCGCTCCATAGCCTGAGACCCCCAAAATGGGCTGAGTCGAGAGACACTATCGGTGTTGGTCACCCCGTGTCACATCCAAGCAGCCGATGGTCATCTGTGTCTCCACTGAAAAGTAGAAGGCAGAGAGCAAACTCGAAAGTCCAATCGCACAATTCTCTGAGATGCTCCACCACATCAATGCAAAGATAAAATAGCAAAGAGCCTGAAACGAAACAAAACCCCGAAACCAAAAAGAACAGAAAACGGGCAACGAAACAGAAAAAGCAGCTTCTGAAAGGTCTGAGGGTCGGCACGTAGGTCACGAAAATGATTGGATAAAGACCCAAGAATGGAAGCTCCAAAATGGTATGAAAAATGTCATATAGAAACATGGCATAGATCTGGCGCTTCCTCCTCACATGGAAAGCCTTGCATGGCGAAAGCACAACGATCCTGACCTCTTTCAGTTTGCGAAGCCTTCAAGACCTCTTTGAGCTTGCCGAGTCTTGAAAGTGACAGCTGCCAAGTGGCTCGGGTACTTTGCGCCTGACCACCATCCCGGTCCAGGATTCGCTTGATCTTGCTGCGATGTTGCACCAGTGCAAAGTTCTCCTCAGTTCATCAAGAACACCAAACAACTTTCTCTCTCTCTCTCTGTCTGTCTCTCATTGTCTGGGCATGTGAAATGGTTGATCTTCCGACCAAAGCAAAATTGCATGCCTTTGCAGTCCACTTTTGGATCATCAACAGGGGAGTATGACGCTGCCTGCAGATTCAGTGGCCCGTGCCAGTTGAGATGCATTCGTCGAAGTCGAAGCCACAGGTGGGATTCCAAAGCCCGAACTTCTGGCTGCAGCGCTCTGTTCGCTCTGTGCGTCGCTCTGTTGTGAATCTTCCCTCGACCCCTGGCTTGACTCCTGCAAAGGGGCTCATCAAAGAGGTGATTTTTAAAATGATATACATTGATATACTGTATTTATATAATGTATAGAGAGAGATATATTATATACAGAAAAGGGAGATCCTTGCAGGAAAAGGCGTTTGATCATGTTCCCCTATTTGATACCAAAGTCGAATGTGGTCATCTCACATGGGCGCACAAAGGTCGACACACATGCATGCCAATGTCACCTCAAGAGACCACGTCCATGTCCTGTCCATGTCATGTCCATGTCCTGTCCATGTGTCCTTCGAAGAGTGCTTGTCGGGATGATCTTCACTGGACCAAGAGTGACTGGTCACTTCACGGAGGGTTTCCATGGAAATCCACAAATCTCTCTCGCTCGGACATCCACTTCCATGGCGGTCGAGCAGGAGGGCTTAGAGGTATGCTTGGATGGCCGGTTTCAGGAAGAAACCCAGAGCCTAGACATTTGATGACATTTGCTTCGCAGCTGCTTATGGGCGCAAAGAACAGTTCAATGAGGACTCTAGAATCTAAATCCTCAAAAGAGTTAGATTTGGCTCAAAGGACTGCGGGATGTAGCCAGAAACAAGCCGCCGTCATGCTCCAGCACAGCAAAAAGAGACATCACTCAGAAAACAATACACACAAACATGAAGAAAACTGGCCGCAAATGTTCTAGTAGAAACAATATATAAAGCTTTCTAGTATGCCTTTGAAGCTTCTTAGTAACTAGAAGCTTTGTTGGGAATCGTTTCGCCTATAGTAATAAAGCGTTCTAGTAATCTAGTATGAACCGTTATGAACCCATCTGTCGGATCTGTCGGCCACTCTGAGGCCGCTGCTGCAAATGTAGGGCTGGGTGACTGCGAAGAACTGCGATCACCAAGTCCTGTCGGGCGGCGGCTGGGCCAAGACCAAGAGCTACGCAGTCTCAGAAGGAGCTTCTTGTTCCTAGTAGTACGGCCAGGAGCCCCGTTCGTAGCATCCTTGCTCCTAGTAGCGATGCCAGGAGCCCCTAGTAGCTTCTTGTTACTACTAGTTCTTCAATGTTTCCTTCCATGTCAACCACCTTCAGTTCATGATTCAGCTACTTCAAGGAGCCGAAGGAGAAGCAGAACTGGAACAAGCCGCTTGGCCCTGCCTGCTGCGGTTCATGAGGGCGAAGTTCCAGGCAAATGTCCAAGAGGAGCTCTTCCCTGCACACGTATCAAATGAGGTCAGTGTAGCAAATGGATGAGCTGTGAATCGGAAGAATGATGAAATGCTGAAAAGGATTCTCTTGGAGCTGGGCTTGTGTGGAGGGAACAACTGTGTGCTGCAGCAAACCTGCAAAATGATATGCAAACGACAAATCTGAGCAGTCCGGGGAATGCAAAGCGAGCCTCTTTCAGAAGTTCGCTGGCACTGGCAGAGACCTGTACAGCCCAAACAGGCCCAAACAGGGCCAAAGGCCAATGATGGAGACAAAGGGAGAAGAGTACCACGAACAAATCACTTTTTAAGCGGCGTGACGAAGCCTCCTTGTGCTCGGAGCCAAGCAAAGAGCAAAGGTTTCGCAATGCAAAAGCATTGAAGAAGAAGACCTCTCCACAGGTGGCGGTGCGGGTGTTCCAGGTTTGAGGAATGAGCATAATCTGCGTGCCTTGGCCTGCCTGGGTAGCTGTCTCAACCGGACCACCAACTCCAAGATCTGAGAGTGCAAGGCAACCGAGAAGGGAGCAAAGCGCAAGGCAACCGAGTGAAATATCAAGCAGCAAGCAAGTGTGACAGAAAGTCTATCCACCACAACTCCAGAAAAAGGATGATGAAATCTCTTTTCGCGTCCCCCTTGAACACTCTTGGAAGAGTCTTCTCAGTGGAAGTGTCTTGCTCAACTCAATCTGGGTGCCGAAGCATCACGCACAACTCCAAGAGCTTGCTCTGGTGGATCCTATGAACCCAATCATGTGACCTCCTCCGAGGGGCCCCACTGGTCACAGGTCACAGTTGCTGTGTCGGGCCGTCCTGTGATAAGCCCCGGAGCACACCTCCAACGAGGTCTTTAATGCCTGGGCTGATTGGGTGTAAGTTTAATTAGCCTTTTCCAAGATATGAGCCATTCCGAAACCTAAGCAATTTGGTAGGAAATCTTGCAACAAGAAAACAAATCCTGGTTGCTGAAAAGCGTGCTTGTAGATGCTCACAATGGTAGTTTGAAGTTTAAGAGGTTGTAAAGGGGATTAAAAGGGTATCATTTGGGGTCGGTCAATGTTCTTGCAACTTTCTCTGACGGCTACCACCTAATTTCGATGAATCACATCCAATCAGCAGAACTCAGCTGCTGGCCCAAAGCTGACGAGGTCATCGCTGGATCTTTCCAGCGTAAGAAACCTCATGCGGAGTGGAGAAATCGCTCGTCACATGGTCGTCACACGGTCGCCACCGGGCAGCTCATTGCGAAGGAGGAAAAATAGCTCCTGACGTCCACCTGGCGACTTCTATCGCCAAGAAAGATAGAAATGGGTAGGCTTCTTGTTACTAGTAGTATATAATGCCAGGAGCTACTAGTAGATCTAGTAGCTTCTAGCTACTAGATGCTACTAGTAGCGATGCCCTACTAGTAGCTTCTTGTTTAGACTCGGATAGAATCAGCTTCCAATCTACTTGTTCACAGTGATTCCCCTTGCAATCTAGATAGGGATCACTAATTCGCCAAACAGGATCATCCGCTTCGGAATTGGTAGGCACAGGGAAACTTCTCACAGGGCTGTTGGATGAACGAGAAGTTGTGCCAGCAACACTTTGCCAACATCTGCCCGGCCCTGGCACGAGACTGAGTGATGTGTATGGCTACTTGGGTGCTCTGCTACCCTTGCTTTGCGTGCAATATTCTTTGATGGTGCGGGCTTCGTAAATGATAAGCTCATCTCCAACTCTTTTTGGTCCACCTGCATCATCCAATATGTTGTTTGTGCCATTTGTGAGCTTTGTCACTTCACTTAGCAAACTTGTTCGACGGCGTCCAAGGCTGCTTGTGCTTGGTATTGTGCCCCTGAAGGTGAAGCCAATTGACGCCCAGCGTCGGCAAAGGTGCGGTAAACGTCACGCAAGTGGCCATTGGTTCGTTCGCAGTCAATCTGGAGCCCTTCAAAGGTTTTTGGATCTCGTGAAACGGCACTCGCCCATGCCCAGGCACAGATACACCAGTGACCCCCCTCCTTAACCACGCTGGATAAATCATTACGGTCGTACCTCGCGCTAGACTCCAGGAAGGTCTTGCTCATCTTCACACAAACTTGATGGAAACCCAGATCAGAGGCTTCCCACGAACAAGAACCAGACCTTGTCCAGCCAGTTACTTCCTCGTCGCCCTGTGTACAAGGCTGCAAAGCTTTGCCAAACAAATTGACATCTTGCATCTCAAGAAGAGGACCCGCCTCCACTGCAGGCCGACCACGAAATTGATTTGATTCTCTCTGAAAGTGGAGCCCATGTGCAGCACTGCTGCCAATGTAAACAGTGGGCTTGTGAGCCGCTTGAGACCAGCATTCCATTCCCGACATCCATAGCGAGGGAAATATCAGCAAAAGGCGAGCATATCTCCGGAGCCCAGGCCTTTGTGAGTCCAAGCTCTGTTGACTTGAGACGGCCATGGCTCAAGTGAATCTCCGATTTGAGCTCGCCAAAGGCGTTTGCTGGTTCCCATTGCACAACACAAACTCTCGACTGCACACAACGCTGATCCCAAATGACAAGGGACCCAGTCATGCAATCGCTTTTGAGTGAGAATTGGGGGACAACTTTGAGCAAAAGCCCAGATTAAATGATATTAAATGTAATGTAATTACAGTAAATCACACACCACACTGATGATCCGACCACGTTCAGATCCACTTCTACCCCCTTGATTTTCCGTCCCGTCACCCACCTGTCGTAGGATTGCCCACTCGAAACTGTCTGAACGCTCTGCAGCCGGAGCCGTCGGAGCCTTGTCTTTCTTGGAGACGTGATACCGTCTCCCCGAAAGCCGCCCGAAGCCATCGAAGCCGAAGTTGAAGCTCCGAAGCCTCGGAACGCTACGTTCGGGGCTCCTGGCCGTACTACTAGGAACAAGGACGGTAACTAGGAGCAAAGGGCATCGCTACTAGGAGCAAAGACGCTGCTGTACTAGGAGCAAGGAAGCTACTAGGAACAAGAAGCTGCTGGGGTCATTGCCATTGCTATTTGTAGGTTGGAGGCCCTCAGGCCATCCGTTCCGGTCGGGCTCGGTTGGGGGGCCGAGCAGTTGAGCTGACAGAGCCTGACTCGTTGAACTCACTCCAGCCAAGAGCCTGCACATGTAGCCAGGACATGGCCACCCCAACTTTCTTTAACTCTTCGTGCCAACTTCTTGGTGTCTGAAAGTACTTTTGAAATGGCAGCTTGCATCTGTATAAGTGTATAAACTCATGTTTGTTCAAAGCATTGACATGACATGATGTGACTTGGCATATCATAAAGTGTACCAAAGCCCACGCGCGCCACCTGAGGCAAACTTTCAGCAGCTGATCACGCTCTGTGCCAAGGTAGCGGTAGAGTAGCTGGCGGCCGTTTGGTGAGTCAGGTTCTCCAGGCCACTGCCAAATGACCCTATTTGTCTTTGATGTGTGGAAACCTTGATGGACTTCTAACCCCCTATTCTGCAGTCTCTGGCTGACTTCCCTAAATTGAACCCCTTAGTCTCTTGACCTTTGCCATCACGACCGCCTGCAAGTGCTCAGAAAGCACTTTTGCCGCCACACCGTGGCGCGTCTTCGCCGTCCGTGCACCTCACGCAGAGTCAAATTCCCAATGCTCAGGGAATGTTCGTCCACTTTCATTGAAGGCAAGGCCAAAAAAAGCCAACCAGCACCACGGAAAGGATTTCATTCCACAGATTCTTCACCAACGGCCTTCATCAAATTTGCCCTCGAGGACACAGGCTAAAGTTTCGATGACCAGCGTCACCAAGCGATTGCCGTCTCCAGACTCCTCATTGGCACTGAATAGAAATGTACGAGACAGCTCAGCAAACGCCGATAGGCCTGGTTCTCCCAGAGGGTGAACAGCTCGGCACCTGGAAGTGCAACTGAAAACTTATATAACAAGCGCCTTAAAATGAGAAAAAGAGTGGATATATATCTGTAAAGTAAGTTACAGCAAGCAAGGTTCAGTAACGAAAACAAAAGAGGGCCAGGGCCCTCACACTGCGGCGACATTTGCACATACTCGTTCAGTAGGTTTACCTCGGAAAGAGCAGGCGAACAAACACGCAAGTTGCAATGACGTGTTGTTGTCCTTTATCCTTAAATATCTTAAAATGCAATTTCAGGGAGCAAGCAAAGAAGTCTTGATGTCACGTGACAGGTAGTCAAGACTGGTTGTTCCCCAAAACAACATGGGAAGTTGAGTGAGTCCACCTATGTATGCATAAAGTCAGTTCCAGCGTGTCCATCACAAGCGTGGTCCAAATTCTTGGCACAAATGGTCTGGTCAAAGCCTAGATTTGCCAAAGACCTGCTGGTTGATCGAAGCAAGCAAAAGGCCGCCATGAAAGCATCGTGCAGAGACCCCGCAATAGATGCGGGAGGGAGAAAACACCTTCAAGAAAAGAAAACGGAAACAAAGATAAAGACTTGCGACAATACAAAAAAGCGAAAACCACAGACAAGTAGAAGAAAAAGACATCTACGTCTTTGGGCCAGCTGTCCAACTCCAGAGCCCCCCTCGACCGGCAGTGCCTGGCCGCTTCGCAGCTCCGCACATAGCCCGGCCAACGCCGCCTCAGCGGTTTGCTTCTGACCTGCGCTGTGAGCCACACATGAAACAAATGGTTTTGTGCACACGTCATCGTGTCAGTGCTTCCTTGCTTTTCGGAAGGTGAAAGACTGCATGTGTTTTGGTGGCCTTCCACTTTGATACACTTGCTGGACCAAAAGCTTCATGTGAATCTTGGTATCTGTGACACTGACCAGGCTGCAGGTTCTGAGCCAGGATTCGTGCTCGTTCTGCACCTGGCCAACATGAATGCTTTCACCGGATGTAGTGCATTTAAAGAGGTGGTTTGGACATTTCAAAGTGTTCTGTTGACCTTTGCGAGCTTTAAGCCTGAGAATCTATATTGACTTGGCACTTGCTCTTCAAAGACATGTCACGATGCACTGTCCATCTGTAAGTCAGCAAGTGACAAGCACGTCAACGAAAACAGGCACAGGAAGAACCATGGCTCTCCCAACAAGGTGCCCCAAAGCCCACGCAGTCTTGGATTCAACGTTCCGTTTGGAGTGTTTTGCTCCATACCCCTTTGCAACATCTTGATCAAATCTCAGTGCTGTTGCTAGTAATTATGTCACTGCTGTGAGGGTGCTGCTGGAGGTAAAGGATAGTTATGCTATGTTATGCTGCGTAATGCCTGAGGCAGCAGAAAGGTTGGTAGAGTGGGATGGTGTAACAATGATGCAGCTACTCCAAAGAATTCAACGAATCTCCAAATCATGACCGTCACAAGCAAGTCCAGCAATGTCTGGCACTGTGGAATGTCTGGCTGATCTCCATTCGGCTGAAGGTCTCCGTTCGCGGTCTTTTCCACCGAAATTCGCTCCAACGACGACTCCAACGCCCCCAGTTTGCGCATGCTATGAACAAGTCGGCCGCCGAAATTCGGCGCCCAGTTGCGCAGCTCCCCGAAGAGCTTGGAGGCCAAGCCCAACACCAAAGGCTGCCAGGATGCTTGGAGTGTAGCTTCACTTAATGAACGTGAGAAGCTGGGTGGGAAGTGAAGGATTCATCAGGAAGAAATCATTCCCTTTCTGGCTAGATAGAGATGTAGCCCCAAACCCAGATCAAGTATGAATTCCCCTACTTGCAAAAAGCTTTGAGCGTTGGCATAGAGCAGCCTGTGGGTGGCGTGCATTAGCTAGGCTGCAAGCAAGGATTCGTGTCCTCTCTGCAAAATCACTTTGAATCCAGAATGAAAGGAAAGGATCCGTGTCCTATCTGCAAATCAAGTTGAATCCAAAATGATTTCCACACAGAAGCAATAATTTGACTTGAAAGAAACGTACAGTACCTCAGCTCGCAACTATGGTACCCTGTATGAGGACTGCCGGTCAGCACCCCCATTGGTGACATTCGCACAAACAACTACGTCAAATCCACGTCAACCATAGCCACTGCCTCAGCTGCAGTCACAAGATTCTTGTTGCACAGGAAACCACTTTTGTAATCAGGAATTACCCAATAGCCCAGTGGCGTCGTTCTGACGCCACTGCTGCTTCTTCTCAATCAGCCAAATTATCAAATTATGAAATCATATTCATTCTCTATCTGCTTCAGGGTGAAAACGTCTCCTGGTACTGTTTCTAATCAAAAGCAGTTATGATGTCGCTCTCCAAGTCGCCTCATCCCACCCCCAATGGGTACAGGACTGCATCCTTTGTAGCCCGCTTCCCGCTTCGCTGCCAGAGCAAGGTGTCCATCCCAACAGCATACAGCAGGAGACTTAAAGGACAAAGAAAAAAATATACATGTAACCTCAAGTGATCCCTTCCTGACGGGTCACTGTCAAAGCCCGTCAACTAAAGCAGACATGCTACGTTTTGAGCAGCAGCTGCTGTAAGGGCAGGTGTGGAAGGCAGGCGAGTTAACCTGGCTGGACCAAGGATTTGCAACTGCGTTGTTGCAGCCGGAGACAAGCGGCCAGGCCTTGGAGATGCTGGGTGACCAGGTGGTTGTGCAGGTGCAGGAAGTGGAGGCTGTGAAGACTGAGATGCGGGTGGTGGTGAAGTGCCTGGTGCAGCCTGCCAGTTCTAACCCTCAAATGGACCTTCAGAACATGAGATCTCAGTCCTGGTGCGTCAGCGGAGCTTTGGCAAGCTTCACTAGGTGAGGAGCCTCATGGAAAACAACAACACTTCTCCGTTTCGGCCTTCCTAGCCTTTCAAACGCTTGAAACTGCATGATTATTGCCGTGCCAATTGAAGCCAATGTACATGTTTGCCTTTCGCACAATGTGACAATGTGGTTGTAATGAAGAGATTCAATTCAATCCTTGAGGTTGGAAATCGCTAAACAGTGGTGGCTAGACTTCAACAATGGTGGATTTCCTTGTTGTGAACGCCAACCGCCACGGCCGGCTGAGGCCTCTTGGGAGATTGCGGAAATGGCCTTCACCGTGCGTCCCACAGCCTGCTCAGGGCCCATGAGACGACTCAGGGCCCAGTGGTGACTGATGAGACGGCCCAAGGAGATGACTCGCATCTTCAACTGAGAGCGATGGCCTTCAACCTACTAGCAATGGCCTCCAACCTAAAAGTGATTCTGTGAAAAATCAACCAAATCATTCAATTCGTATCTTTCCGCACTAGTACATGCACTTTGGAGGACGAGCACCAAAACGCAAAGAAAACTTTGGCCTTTGCAAGGGACACAAGTTCAACATCAACTTGTCCATCCTGTGCAAAGAAAGTCAGCAATCATGGGAGAAGTCATTGATGGACCCTTTCAATGAAGAGTTTCACAATGGGATATCAGATTCTCAATTTCAAACAAAAAATAGAGTTTGCTTGGGTAGATTTAAAGCGTGCACACGTTGACCCAGGAGCTTTATCATGCTTTATCGGCTTTCGCGATAAAATATTGTTGTTTCTGTCACAAAACGGCTCTGCTCGCATCACCTGTGTATCTTCTTGCACAAAAAACATCAGTCAGTGGGTTGGGCCCCCCATCGGTTGTGTAGGCTTCCTGCAGTTTTTGATATCTATACTATACTATACTATACTATACTATACAAAAACTGAAGGAGACGGGAACTTCCCCTTGGTATGCTTCATCAACCCCTTGGTGCTCCATCTGCACCTCCTTCGGTTCTTCAGTACCACCATCCCCTATCTTCACCAGAAACACCAAATTCAGTTCCACCAGCAGTAACAAGTGCCACGCTAGTAGTAACAACCAGTCTCAAACCGTCTCAGTCCTTAGGTCTCAAACCGTCTCGTCTCTCCTGGACCATCTCCTCCAGCAGCTTCTGCCGATGCCGCTCCGAGCGGAGCGCCTTTTCGCCCAAGGCCCGGCTCTTGGCCTTCTCCTCCGACAGCAGCAGCCGCAACCTGCTGCGGTTTCCAAACAGCAAAGATCGCAACGATCTGAATCCTCTACCCTGGTGCCAAGCCTGGCACTGTCAGAAGCATCACTTCCAGAGGCGGCCACCTCCAAGGTGCATCAACTCATGAGTTCGCACTGAATTTCGAGAGCTCAGCCTTTCCGTGTCTCGGTTTTCAATGCCTCCAGCTCAGCTCTGTCAGCTCTAGCTTCAGCCTCGGGCAGTGGCAAGGCATAGGTTCAGCCTTCCATAACTAACAGGTATCAATGCATCAAGGTCCTGACACATGCCTGCTCTTCCGAGATCAACGCTCTGCGCAGGCGCTGCACCTTTGTTGCTGTGGCCATGCAACTAGAAGCAACTAGACAAGCTAATGAATTAGTCGGGCTGTTCATGGCACTCAAACCACTTAAAGTATCAGTCAACTGCTTTCGCACCTCTGCTTTGGCCTCCTCGGCCTCCTCTACCGCTGCAGCTGCTTTCTCATCAGAAATAGCATTCACCTTAGCCCACCCTGGTGTCGTATGCGCTTTGGAAGCAGAAACCGAAGGACCACAGGGACTCCCTGGTATCGTCCGAGGGACTGCGGCACGGCGTTCAGCCGCCTGCAAGGCTGGACAAGACTTTCTTCAGCAAAGCCACCAAATGTTTGGACTTCCGCCGATGGCCTTCGACTCGGAGCTGGATTCCTCGGACATCTCAGGCCTGACAGCACGTTTAGACCAAAAGCTTCGCCAAAAATAAGCAATTGCATTGCAACAGTGACAACAGAAGCTTTTGCGAGGCAGGCAAGTCACAATCCCTCACTCGGTCTAGCGTTTTTGGTGAGTGGATCCATTTCACAGCCAACTGCAAAGGGTCAGAATTCTGGCGCTCTGCCGGACAATCTGGAACTTTTCTGAGCAAAGGGCAACGGCAGGATTCCCCCGCTTGCTCTGCCAAAAGAGCAGCCACCTGCTACTGGAAAGAAACGGAAAGAATGGGATATGATCGGTAGGTAGAGCTTCTGCTGCAATCCTTGAGTGGATTCTGGTTGCTATTGCTTTCCTACTTCAGGATCCGTATCAGCGTTTGTTCACATTGCCTCCTGAATCCATGTGCCCTGCGGGTAGGTCCTGTATGCTGGCAAAGATTCATGCACAAAAACTCAAGAGTACCGTCGTCCATCCATCAGTAGTGTCCAGATCGTGTTGGATGCTCAAGTGTCAGCCATGCTACAAGGTGACTGTCCTCGGAACCAAGACTAGCTTCTTCCCATGCATCCTCGCCGAATGGGTTCCTGGAGGATCACATCATCGGGATCATTTCAATCTGAACTCAAAAGCGACGCCCTTTGTTGCTAGTAGCCTTCTTGTTACGAATGGCGATGCCAGGAGCTACTAGTAGCGTCCTTACCCCTAATAGCGATGCCCTTTGTTACTAGTACATTTGTTGCAGAACTGAAGGTCTGTTTCAGCAAAGCAAAGAAGACTGACATACAAGTGCCAAAAGGAATACAGTGAATCATGGACTAATGGCCATAGAATCAGCATGAGTCAGCCAGGCCAAAAGAATTCCTCTGACTGGATTTCTCGTGCACAAGAGTTGACCCACCCAAGGCCTCGAATTGACTCGAGCCTCGGATACAACAAGAAAGCATGGAAAGCCGTGGAAGCGTCAGCAGTTTCTCCGAAGTCCTGCTGCTGTCTAAGCGGCCCTGGTCGGTGGCGCAAAGGACACTGCGGTGGCTCTGCGTCCAGACAAATGCTCAAAAGGCCTTGGATTGAAGTCATAAAAATCAACACAAAGAAATCCCCTGACTCACATGTCACATGCAGATCAAGTTCACTGACAAACCCAGCGATTCTGGCCCTGATTAAAAAAGAATTGACACGAGAGGCTTCTCCAAGAAGTCGCTCTGCGGCGCTCTAAAAA